CAGACCTAATATATATATATGAAATACCTTAATATGGAAGGATTTCGTTTCACTTTTCCTATTCTTATAGATTGTCTTAATGTTTACTTAGGAAATGGGTTTCATTGTTTATTTTAGAGGCTGGTTATTAATGGGCTTCGCGTTGTTGATATTACTGAGTGCAATAGGGGTACCGTTGACTTTTTTTACCTCCTTGAAGGTGCGCACTATTTATGTACTGGCGGTCGCATCACCCCTTTGGTTGCTATATATGCTTCTTTTTTATTTTTTGATCTACAGAGTGTTGGTAAATTTTACGAGTGCGCTGGGCAACGATGAAAACTATAGCTCTGATCTGTGGACCCAGCGTTACACTACATACACCAAAGAGTTTCATGATCTAGGTTGTAATTTACAAGCTCTCAGCTTTGAAACCAATGATTTGAAGATGGGCACTCAAGCATTATCATCATTTTATGAGGATACTCAGGAGGTGAGTTACCTATCAGGTTCTCTTCCACCAGGCGTGGCATCTTAATACATTTCTTGTTCCATAACATGGACTTTTAAAGAGGGCCAATTTTAGAATTTCTCTACTTTTATGTACAGGATTACCAAGAAATTCATGCATCATCCTCAGGTTGCTCTTGATTAAACGGTTTGCATTACTATCTTCATACAGCAGAGATCATACAAAATCTTTGGCATCATTATCGTATCTATATTCTTATTTTTTTTTACTTGTCACGTCGGATGTGGCAACACCATTAGCCTTACTCGCTTTCCAATGGGGTAATAATTGTTACAATTCTCATGAACCCCTTCTCCTTTCTCCTTCTCTTCTATATTCCCTTTATATTGTACCTCTTTCATTAACCCCAGTCAGTTTTGATCTTTACAACTGTAAACGAAACGAGAAGAAAGAACCTATTAATCCCTTCGCACTGATGCCCTTCATGATTTCGACAAGGAGGTTAGGCGCGCTGATGGTGGTGGTGCTCTTGATTGGGCTGGGGATGGTTTCACCCACGACAGGCTTCGTTTTCACCCTGAAGCCAAACACCAGGTGCTGCTTTTACGATGAGTCCTCGAGCAACACCAAAATCCGCATCGGCTATAAGGCCACTGAGGCCCCAGAGCAGATACTCCATGTTGTCTTATCTGGGCCCAATGATGTCGTGTACTGGGAAGACAATCGAGATGAGTCCGTCCACGAGTTTCGCAACCTCCATGGCGGACTCCAGACTCTTTGCTTCTATTCCTCTCTGAATCGCGTGACACGCCGTGTGCCGTCAAATCGGACCATCACCCTCAGACTTGGCAACGACTTCAACGAAATGCCGGTTATTAATCCGGGGAAGAAGCTGAAGCCGCTTGAAGCGCAGCTTCGAAAGATCGAATACGCGATTTTTGGCATCCATAATGAGTATTTGTATTATAAGGAAAAGGAGGCAGAAATGCGAGCTGCAAACGAGGCCATGACATCAAAGGTAATGTGGATTTCCGTTATGGTTATTGTTATATTTTTGTTGTTTTCGTACTTCCAGTTACGTCATCTTAAGTCATATTTCCGGAAAAAGAGGATGATCGATTAAATCTCCCAGATTCAATATGTATAATGGTAAATTGAAGGGACTAAGATAAATACCGAGTTCCTTGTATCTTGGTGGCTTGCTGGAGTACTGGAACCCTTTTCTTCTCTAATTACGATTTTTATTTTTTTACGCTAGATATCGATCTTGGGGATAGAAAGTAAGGAACCAATTTTGCGTTAAGATTGTGAGGTATGATCTTTTTAAAAATTTGTTTGTGTGTATGTTTGTTTTTCGCAAATATACTTTCCTGAAGTAGTTGAATCTTCGAAAATGCGTCTTAGAGTTAAAATATGCTTGTCTGGATATTCTGAATAATCATGTTTCCAATAATCCATTTTTTTTAGCCAAATTAAATGATTCTGACTTTTTATCCTTCAAACTTTTAACATTTTCTCTTGTTTGAATCTAGTTGAATTCCTCATATTCAATCATCGTTATCCATTTCGTAGTAAGAATAGCTCCTGTATGGTATTTTTACCTTTCATAGTCGTTTATAGGATCCCATAAAAATCAAATAAAGTATTTCTGCTTCATTTTTATTCATAATGTCTTAGTAACTTTTATTGCTTTATATCAGTTACAATTTTTCTGCAAATTGGCGTACTATTGCAGTACTTTCCCTTAAATCACATTTTTGTGAGGCTTTTTGCGATCTGAAAACCAACAGTCACAATCTCTTTCTGGCGCTTTGTATAGACTTTTTTCATTACTGTAAAGTGCCAATCGGAAAATGCACTAGGAGCAGTATATTAGTTTTCTCAGATTAGCGATGCATTACGAATTTTTATACCCGTATAACATAAAAATAATCTTGATTGAGTTCTTATGCTTTATTTAAACAAAAAAAGATATTTGATAAGATACTTTTTCTTTAAAAAGTGTATCTTGACATTTTTTCCCCTATTCCTTGTTTCAAAAACAGTCTTTGTTCACTGATATCCTGAACTTTTCCTCTTTTTAGATGAAGAGCTTACAGAAAGCGAGGTAGTAAATAACGTTCAAATACTTAAATCAGATGAAGCATTCATACATGAACTACTCAAACTGATTTTTTTCTACATCCTCTCATATGGTTGTTTTTCCTATCTACATTGCACTTAAGTATACTCAACAAAGTTCCAAGAGGTTTAAATTGCCTCACCACCGCAAAGGAGGGGAGCAAAACCACATATTCTTTCAATCCAGGATGAGTTTTTTTTTTACTGTGAACTGATCTTAAGAGTATAGATTTCACTTTTACATAATGAAATCCTTTCGGACATTTGAACTGGTGGTTATCGTTACTGAAACAGACAGTGAAAGTAAACTCTATCCATATGGAAGTTTTCCTTTAATAGAGATATCACTTCTTTTGAAGATGCGTTTAAGTTTCCCTGATCTGGTCTTTTTAAGTTTATTTGTGTATCGTCGTAAACTTCACGTGTACACTTAAGTAGGGCTAAATAGACAATGCTTTTAGATGACAACGAGTTAAAAGAGCTCTTTGCTTCACTTCGTCACATAGCAAACTTCTTTGAACATACTGGTATAAAAAGTACTCTATCTTCATTACGAAGCGTTTACTCTTCAACTACGAACGCTAACAAGGTGTTATCTGCGAGTTGTGGATCCCCTGATAATCTGAACCACAAAAATGGGCCTGATATAGATCCGGATTACTCAGATATCCAAGCGAAAATTACTTTACCAGACAACGCTACATTTTCAGATGTCGCCTCCCTTCTGCATTTAATTATCAATCAACTTGAAATGCGGATTGATGCTTGCCTTATTGAATTTTATGAGCACATAAAACGAAACGAAGGGTACCGATTAAGCGCAAGTTCTTCACAGCAGCAGGATGATTCCTATAGGCCCGATCCTATACTCTCTTCGAGAAGCAATCCCAACTCGGTAAAAAAGGTTAAGAATTGTAACTTAGAAGGTGACATCGAAGGTGTTCTAATACTCGAAAGCCCCGAATCATCTATGAGGGCAGTTCTCCACGAAGCCTGGAATCGTCTCAATGTTTCAATCTCTCAAAGAGTAACCAAAGGACGCCCCGAATCAAGCCATAGAGTAAGTATTTGCTCTTCTCAACCTTCCAACACTCGAAGTGAGAGGCAAAGGGTTCTTTCCTCATCCCGGAGACCACACGATGCCGCATCGATTTTTCAAAACCACCTTTATCTGTTGTTAGAGAGCGCCGTCGCTCAAACCAACTCCAGCTGCGGGGCGATTTACCTGAGCGACACAAACGACGCGAACACCGCGGCGCCAGTGGAGGAGAGTCCTCGGTTTCTCTACCGCATTGCGGATATTCGCGCGGGGAATCGACTTCCCCAATCTGTCAGTTTCGCCACGATTAACACCCTCACGACGGTTGTCCAGACCGGGGTGGCGGTGAATCTGAGCCGGGCCCAGCCCGAACCCAGTGCCCTCCACGCGTGGGGAGGGGGGGCCGCTGTCCTTCACCCACGTCCCCTGGCGGAAAAGCGCACGACCGGTGCTCCTGCTCTGTTGTCGGACCCCCCCCTTATCGGCCGATTTTTGCCTGTTACAACGGCCATCGTCATGCCGATCGGCACCATCGGCTGTGTCATTGTGGCCAATAAATCCGGGATGGGCATTAATGACACCCGATTCCTTAGAACCGATGAATTCGTGGTTTGGGGCCTGGCAAGGTTCTGCCGACATCTCTTCACGTATTATAAAACGGATATCTTTCTTCAACACACCTGGGCACCATCGGCGATGACTTGTCTCCGACAGTTCACAATACTTCCCTCCGTTGGGGAGCCTCCAAGAGCTTTTCAGCTGCCAAAAATGACCAATTCTAGCGGTCGATGGAAATCTTTTTCGCGTGTCTTTTCAGAGTGCAAAAACAATATTGAAGGAGATAGGGTGCCAAAGCCCTTAGTAATAGTTCAAACAGATGTGGATACAATACCAAAGTTAGTCAACAATAAAATTGAAAGGCTATACAACAATTGTACAGATGACAGTAATGTCATAAACGAAGAGGAGATGTTCACAAACGCGTCGGAGTATATTACTAATATCGAGTCTCTTTGGACGCAGACAATAAAGGAGAATATGTATTTAAAGTCCGAATTAGAGAAAGTCTTCAAGGAGTTGGAAGAGCACAGACGTTTATTATCCATTGCAAGGCAAAGTAAATAGCCATTCAATTCTCAAAAACAACAATGAACCTCTAATAAAATTTTTACATAGCGTATTTTAATACTACAGTCATCAAGCAGAAAACCTAGTAATTGTTTCAATTTGATTATTATCTGAATTCCTACGACATAGGTTTTTGCATTCATCCGTTATAACTATTTTTTTATTGTACAACTTACGATGAAGGGATATTTCCTAATTAATCTCTTCATTTCGGGGAGACAGTTGCATGTAGTGACAACAATTCATCCATGTATTATTCGAAACTAAACCTGATATTTACACCAACAAGATCTTATTATCATAATCCAATGATAAAATGGAGGAAACAATTTTTTTATGGTATAAATTTTATTATTTACGAGGATTAATACTATTCGTTGTCATAAAGTAGTGATTTAATTACAATTGCATCAATATATTATTTTCCTTTATACTTTCATTGTAATTATCTAGTATTAAGATTTCTTACGTGAACCATGCCCTTCGTAAAGGTTGTCAAGAACAAGGGGTACTTCAAGCGATTCCAGGTGAAGTACCGCCGCCGTCGTGAGGGAAAGACGGACTATCATGCCCGGCGTCAGATGGTGCTTCAGGACAAGACCAAGTTCGGCTCACAGAAGTACCGCCTCGTGGTACGCATCACCAACAAGGACATCATTGCGCAGGTCGTGCAGGCGAAGATCGTGGGGGACAAGGTACTGATGTCCGCGTACTCACACGAACTGGTTGCCTTTGGTCTCGAACACGGGCTGACGAACTACGCTGCGGCGTACGCAA